TGCTTGTTTAATAGTGTTGTTTGGTGAACAAAGATTCTGAATTTTAAAAAGTTCAATTTGTAAATTATTTCCTTATGTTTAGTGCTTTTAGTGTTCTTTTAACCTTTGCATACTCAGTGACAAAGCTGTTCTACGTTTTCCTCTAAAAGCATTATTGTTTTAGCCTTCATATTTAAATCTGCAATCTGTTTGGAAATGATTTTTTGTTGAATGTGAGGTAGCAATCGTGATCTCTTTTATCTCCATACTGCTATTCAGTTGGTTTAGCACCATTCACTGGAAAGATTACTCCTTTCCCACTGTCCTGTGATGTCAGCTTAGTCACACAGCTGGTGGTCTTACATGCACAGGCCTTTTCTGACTCTATTCTGTTCCATTTGTCAGTCTTTCTTTGGGACCAAACCACAACGGGCTAATTACTATCTCTTTGAGTAAGTCTTAATATTTGTACATTTTTCAGTTTTGTTGTTCCTCTTGGATCTCTCTCAGGCCAACCTTTGGCTTTTGTATACCATTTGGATTTTAGAAACAGTTTGACAATTGCTAAAGAAAACCATCGGATTTTTGGCTAGAATTTTGTACTGAATCAATAGATTACTTTGAAGCAGACTCACATCTTTATGTTATTGAGTCTTTCAATCATGAACATGATATATCTCTCCTTTTACTTAGGTATTCTTTAATTTCTCTCAATAAAGATTCATGTTTTTTAAGTATGGAGACTTTTCACAATTTTGTTAGATTTACTTCCAAGTATTTGATTTGTATGATGTTATTTGAAACTCTAGTTTTTAATTCGCTTCTATTTGTTTCCGGTATATAGAAATACAGCTGATTTTCAAACACTGATCTTGCTAAACATCCTTGTTAAAATCAACTCTTCATTTTGATATTTGTAAATTCCTTTATTTTTTATGGGCACAATCATGTAATCTGTAAATAATCACAGAGCGTTTCCATAAAATTTGTATTATTTCTTTGGTAAAAACGTTGGAAGGTTCAATGGTGAGACCATATAGGAGCAGGCTTTTGTTTGTGAGAGGATCTTGATATGACCACACACAAACACACACACACAAACACACACACACACACCCCATTCCTTTTTGTCTAACTCACTGCATGAAATTTACTACCATCTTATCCTACTCTATGAAATACACAGGAAAACAAACAAAACTTTGCCTAATTCTCAGTCGGTGCTTCTTACATATTTTCCCATGAAATTATATTTAATAATTTGACGTCTCAGTGTTTATCTTTAAAGTGTCATAAAAGTTTTTCACTTTCCTCCAGAAAAATAGACATTTACTTTTTGTGTGAAAATAAAGCTGCAAATAATAATCATCAGGTGGCAGTAATACTTCAGGGAGATATACAACCTTTATATCCAGTGGCTTTGTGCTTTTGGCATAAGTCATATCCTCCCCTGGATACTATATTCCACCTTTGAGAAACACAGGTAATTCTGACAAAGTCCTCATATTTCAATACCAATTTCTTACTTTTATCATTTTTCTTCTTTGGATCCATAAAGTAAGACAACATGTATACCTGCAGAATGGAGGTCTTCTGATGGCTAATGGGAGCCTAGTGCCTACTTGATGCAGACAAGCATGTCTAAAACTAAGGGGTTTGATCGGAATCGGTGCTGTGCACCTATCGCCAGAGAAAAGCTGAATTCTTGAAAGTCAAATAATACTCACTGTTTGTATCATTGTGGGGTAGGGGGAATTTAAAAACAAATAATGCCATGCAACATCCATTTTATCAAAAGAAAAACACTGGGAGATTGATCTGCACAAGTCAACAAAGTGAATATATTAAAGTACATGTGATTTGTGATCATTTATTTATATTCAAGACATTCTTGGTTTCCATCTTCTGCTCCTTTGATGCAAGTGACTTTGGCAGCTGGCAACTGAACTGTAATTTTCCTTCTGTCGGAGAAAGAGCTATTTAATGCTACAGGTCAAGACACGCCAGAGTGAGGAGTAAAGGCCAGTCTACGGAGATCAAGAGTTAAAACCTTCATATTTCATCCAAGATAAGTCTATTCAAGCTTTTAATTTCATATAAAGCATTCATTTCTGATGTCCCTTAATCTGTGATGCATCAAACATATAATCTTTTTACAAGAACATTGTTTATGTGGGGAGGCAGGGTTGGACTACTGTAAATTATTCATTAATCTCAGTCAATTATTATAGAGCATTTGTTTTTCATAGAAGCTGTTTTCATTTTTCAAGCAGTTCTCTTTTACTAAGAATTTCAAACCCCGTTTTCCCTGCCAAGGTCAGAATACCCTATAACTAGAGACAGCTGAAAGCCAAGCTCTATCTAGTGAATAAAAGAAATGTAATTGTATGTGCGTGATTAGACACATTTAAATTTATTTCCAGTTAAACTCCCCAAAATAAGTTGTTGATGTTTTGATATAACTGGATCAAGCCTTATAATAGAAATCTTTCTGTAATATAAATCTAGCTTTAAAAAACATATTCATCTCCCTTCTAAAAATCTCTAGTGGGCCACCACAAAATCTTGCCTTATTCCATCCCATACTGCCTCTCAAAATATAGAGGTAAAGGGTCAACATTTAGAAGTTTGCCATCAGGACAACAACCATCTCACAAAACCATCAATGCAATATGAAAACAAACTGTGAATCTCTGAGTATATAATATTTATAAAGTGTTCACTTTTTCTATATTTTTTTACTCAAACATATAATTATATCTTACGTGAAAAAACTGAACACGGAAATAAATTACATCTCTGTAAATTTAACATATCTGCACACTTTTAAGTATTCATTCAAATAACTGTCCAATGTAGTTCTCTGACTATATGCTCTAAGAAGGATAAATCCTAAGGGCAAAAGAAAAACTCTAAAAAAATCTTGAACGCTATTCAGTAGGTTTCACGTTGGTGGTAGTCTCAATAGAGTTTGTGCTGTGTGTCTTATGGGAAAGAACAAATAAGTAAATATATTGACGGTGTTGGGTTATGTATATACAGAGATGGGGCAAGAGCGGACCAAAGATAGAGGGCCAAAAAAGAGACAAAGCAAATATGGCAACGTGTTAGGAATAGGTGTAGCTAAAGGTATACAATTCTTCACTGGACAGTTATTTCAACTTTTCTGTAGGTTTGAAATTTCTCTAAAAGCTGGAAAAAAACAATCCAGGGGTTGAAATCCTGTCTTCTTACCTATTGGTAACACCCAAGGTAGGATTCCCTGGCTATCTAATGCCAAGACTTAGTTTACAATCAAAATTTACAGGAAAAACATGGAATATCTTGGATAGTTAAGATGCCAAATATTTGAACAACATATATTTAAGCCACTCACTAAACCCCCTGACGCAGTGAGAGTTGTTGTCCAGTACCCCTGAGACGCAGGGCACATGGCCTGAGCGCCAGCCCTCAGATCTCCCAGCAGACCAGAGGTGCTCACTCGGGCTCCTCAGTGCATGTGCTGAAAGCCACACCCTGAGACTCTGCCAGACTCTCCATCTGCCTCTCCTTCCTCAATCTGAGTCTTCTTCCCCCTTTATTAGTGTTAATTAGTGGAAATTAATACTAGCAGAGTAAATTGTATTGATTTCCCTCCATCTCACAGCTGGTGTCTCAACATCATTAAAAAAAACACACACACACATACTCTCCATGCTCAAAGGCCCACTCGTTCCAAATGGAATCCTACCTCAGGATTTCTTCATAATTAACATGCACAAGAGACCAGCCAACCCCATATAAAGTACACTCTGTGACATCTTTGTTTTAACACTGTCCACTTGCCTTTGGAGGACTGGATGTACTATGCTACAATGATTATGACATTCCTAACACAGTCATCTTGTTCCTTCAGGGCTATCCTTCAACAGCAACATCATTCCCTCTTCCAATTATTTACCTCAAGAGTTTTACAATGTGTTGTAGTAAAATTTGGATATGCACAGGTACGTGGTCGAAGGTACCCATGGAACCTCACGGCCCACAGAATTTTGACTGTGATGAATTGGACTCTGGGAATTGTCTGAGTACCATGACCACCCCTGTGTCACCATCCTCTGACACATGCCTGCCACTTACAAAACCCATGCCACACAGCTATCAAGCCTCGGTCCAGCAACCCACTTGAACGGCCAACAGCGTCACAAGTTAGCCCTGAGTGCTCTCAACCAGGGGTCCCCACAGCATGCCCAGGTGACATCCAGAAAGCCCAGTGGCTCCTGTCAGCAAGGCCACTCAGATCCTTGTAGACTCTGGCTGTGTCCCCTCCGTCCGCTGTTTCCCAAGCTCTGCTCAGCCTCTTGTCAAACTGCCCTCCAGCCATAATTCTCAGGCACAGCCATCCTGGGAATGTACTCTCGTCAAAACCCATCTTAAAGTGTAATGCCCTCAGTACTTCAGGTACACAGTAATCATCATTTGTCAGGATGAGGAAACACTCTCCCTTGACAAATTAGGATCAAGGACATCCTGCCACTTCATTTTCATAAAGCAGGCAAGGCTTCGGATCTACCAGGGGCTCTCACTGGGAATAGGAAGGGACTCTCTTCCTGCCTAATTTGCTTATGAAAAATATTCAATTATGTTCCAAGTTTAATTCACTTAGTAATGAAAAGTAAAAGTAATGAAAAGTAAATGAGCCCAACCAGTGTGTTTAATTTGTCTTGGAAAGATAGAAATAGCTTTGTAAGAACAAACAAAGTTAAATTAAAATAAGTGACTCTCCTCAAAGGTGGAAATTGAATTTCTCCCCAAATAACTTCTTAACATCCATAAAACATGGTGCCGATGCCAGTAAGAGAGAGAAGGCCTTGCTACAGAACCACTGTGGCCGAAAGATTACACACGTGTGTATGCATGTGTATAGCTACATAGGTTGAAACTCACATATCCGTATGTGTGTCCCGTCTACCATGAAGCAGCACATGGGTTGTGTGTCAGGGTGGGAGGTGCACCCCATCACCAACGGGCATCTCACATACCGTTTTTGCAGATGGGACAGCACTGATCAGGCTCGTACACAGGGTCCACACACTCCGTCTGGGGACACGCTGACACTGTGCACAGCACCTCACCGTTGGCTTCACAGCGACACCTCTCGCATGGAGACACCTGAAACACAAGTCCACAATCAGCGTCATGCCTGCTGTCATGTTTATCCTACAGGGTCATATATATATATATTTTTTTTTTCTTGAAATGGAGTCTTGCTCTGTTGCCCAGGCTGGAGTGCAGTGGCACAATCTCAGCTCACTACAACCTCTGTCTCCCGAGTTCAAGCAATTCTCCTGCCTCAGCCTCCTGAGTAGCTGGGATTACTGGCTAATTTATGTATTTTTTTTTTTTTTTTTAAAACCAGGGTTCCCTGTGTGCCCAGGCTCGTCTCGAACTTCTGGGCTCAAGTTATCTTCCTGCCTCAGCCTCCCGAGTAGCTGGGACTACAGGCGCCCGCCGCCTCGCCCGGCTAGTTTTTTTTGTATTTTTTTAGTAGAGACGGGGTTTCACCGTGTTCGCCAGGATGGTCTCGATCTCCTGACCTCGTGATCCGCCCGTCTCGGCCTCCCAAAGTGCTGGGATTACAGGCTTGAGCCACCGCGCCCGGCCAATTTATGTATTTTTTATAGAGATGGGGTTTCACCATGTTGGCTAGGCTAGTCTCGAACTCCTGACCTCAGGTGATCTGCCCGCCTCGACCTCCCAAAGTGCTGGGATTACAGGAGTGAGCCAGCGTGCCCAGCCCTATAGGGTCATACTTTTCTTCCCCTAAACTTTCTGCAAAGACACCTAAGTGTTTTAGGAATGTTAAAAAAATGATCCAGTCCAGTGGTTTTCAGAGTGTGGACACAGGCGCGCTGGGTGTTTAGTGAGTTGTCTTAGGTGCAAATGCACAGGACGGGCCATAGGGCTATGACGTTCCCTCTCCTGTCCAGCCAGAGCCACTGTTTAATTCATGGTCTGCATATTGGGTTTCTCAATAAACTTTTTTTTTTGAAGAAACGTTTTTCATCTCTTTAAAAATTAAACAAATAAAAACTTGCTGCTGAGTTGTTGCTCATCCCCTCACCATGTAGGTGAATCCCTTGTCTATAACCCTGTCAAGTCACCACCCAGCCTCACATGGAACACTCCCAGTGTTTCCAGTTACGAAGACACTGGAATAGGAAAGGGGGAAGGAACGAAGGAGGAGAAACAGAGTGGCATCCAAGCAGGGCCGTGGGCCAGGGACTCTATGAATATTTCCTCACCGAACTTTTACAGCAGTGCTAAAATACACCTACTCAAATTACTGACCCTTTGTACTAACAAGAAGCTGAGACTCACAGGTGTTAGACAACGTGCCACGGGCAGGTCTGTCTTGTGAGCACAAGATCCTCTTCCACTGAGGGCTCCTGACTGCGAGTCCATGGTGATTCCAATCTCCTCCATGTCATTCCGCCCATTATCCAGCATCATGATGCTCTGTTAGAAACCAAGCTTCCATTTGCCTCTCTGTACTTTCCAGCCATGGGCTCAAACTCTGCCTTCTGGAGCCATCCAAATCAAGCATACCAGCCATTCCCAGGAAAGCTGTACGTGGCTAATGGAACCCTCCACGGTCACCCACACAGGGCATGGTGATTTATCTCCTGGTTACCACCAATGGAGTGATTTTTGATCCGTGTTGACCCAGGGCAAAGTGGGAACAGCATATGCAGACCCAGCCATCAGAAGCAAAACAGGAAAGTGGGGATACCCACTAGAAAGACTATGGAAATGGGGGACATGAAAATGGGTCGTATCAAGCTGAGTTCCTGCTTTCCCAGGGGCAGGGATACCCCAGTTGAGTTGTGTGCCCCATGTCCATGGTACAAACACCACTTCTAAGGTATAGAACATGAGCAACCCTCACAGATGCCCCCTTTGTCTATACAACGCAAACGCTAAAAACTGAAATCTCCACTGAGTGGACTGGCTATTATGAGAAGCAAAAGCTCAATTTGAGTTTGACCATGTCTCTTTCTGAGGCACTAGACCACAGTCAACCTGCCTGGGAGTGAGGGCTAAGTGTGTGTGTATGTGTACTTGGCTAAAAAAAATTTTAAAAGAAAGGAAACTTTGAAAAACTTTAGAGTAGCCTGAGACAAAACGCTGACCTGGTTTGCAATGTAGCCTTAGAAGTTAAAATCAATCTTGAAGTAATATAAAGGCCTGTTTTTGAGATGAGTTATTTTTGTTATTGTTGCTGTTGGCACAATTAGGTTTTTTTTTTTTTTTTCCTACGATAACCAGTGTTGTTCTTTGCTGTTGCTGTCATCGCTGTGGGTCTCATTTCCTTCTATCTCCTACCAATTGCCCCATTCAGTATGTAGCATTTTTGTCTCAAGGGGGATATATACATAGCAAGCAGAATGAGAACAGGATTCTGAGTTTTAAAAGCCAAGACCTTCAGTTGCAACAGACATGGTTTATTGCATGTCAGAACCCTTTGGCCAGAAGGACTCAGAGCATAAGTCCTCAAGCCCAGGTGGTGTGGATTATGTGATGGAGAGCCAGAACACCCTGCCCCAGAGGAGGGGAGCACCATCCCCTGTAGAGATCAGGATAGTCAGCAAGGAGCAAGAGGGTCAGATAGCGAGGTCTGTCCTCACGAAGCAGCACAACGTGGCATCCACTCCTCACCTAGGCATACACCAGGGAGGGAGTAAAAAGCATCATTTCCATTTGGGAATTTAAAAGAAGGCCAGAGCATGCCCTATGTCATATCCCCCGGGAGGGCCCTGGAATACAGCAGGACCAAAGATAAATGTCCAACTGCAACGTCAAAAAGGGCTCCAGGTCCTTAGGCAGCAGGCCCTGAATCAGCCTCGTCCAGCAGCTTTCTGCATGAAGGCGCACACCTTGGCAAATGGGGCAGAGATCACTGGCCTGGAAACAAAACACTTCTTACTGCCACTGGAGCTGAAATTTCACTGAATCCATGCCACAGAATACTGCCCAAAGGCATGCACACAGGCCGGCATGCTATTTTCTCAAAGGTTTTGTAGCTTTGTAAAACATTTGATTGTCAGTTATATTGTCATTAAATATTTAGAAATCCTGATTCAACTTCAGTCATGTGCCCCATAACTGGGTCAAAAAGGGACTACATATATGACGTGGTCCCATAGATTACAATGCCACATTTTTACGTATCTTTTCTATGTTTAGATACAAAAATACCGTGTGTTATAACTGCCTACAGTTTTCAGGACAGTAACATGCTGTGCAGGTTTGCAGCTTGGGAGCAATAGGCTATACCATATAACCTAGCTGTGTAATAGGCTATACCATATAACCTAGGTGTGTAATAAATAGGCTATACCATCTAGGTTTGTGTAAGCCCACTTTATGGTGTTCACATAATGATAAAATCACCTAAGGATGCATTTCTTAGAATGCTTCCCTGTCATTTAGTGATGCATGATTGTGTCTGGAGATTTGTTTACTTCTAAAAAATGAGAGTTGATGCTTAGAATTAGGATCGCCAATCAGGCCTCACCTCCTAGCGCCTACATCTGCCTTCACCAGCACCCATGCTGGGCTCCTATGCACTTCCATCCCGGTTTGGGCCTGCCTCAATTCCCAGAGGAAGTGAGGCTGGTGACAGCAAGTGGCAAAGCTGTGTCAGTCCCTCAAATGCCAGCCAGGTGCCCTGCTAGTCCTGCCTAGGCAAAAGCCCTCAAGCTAGTCACAGGTCCTGGATACTTAGAAGTCAGAGTTTCTCATCTGATAAGCAGGTTCCAGAACCCCTACCCAGGATCCAGGTCACATAAAAGAACCCTGCCTTCTCCTGGTTTATGTTCCTATCTCCTGCAGGCAGGCGTCCTAGGCCTGAGGCAGCCACAATCCCAACCTATGAACCCACCTTCCAGTAAAACCTTCTTGCCTCACAGTCTCAGAACACCTGCTGGGCCACTGGGCCACTTGCCAGTGTTGGGCCCTGATCACTGATCAGCCTTCACCCAACACTGCGGGTGTGCCCAGACTCAACAGATGAAAATAATGCCCCGTCCTTTTCAGCCATGCCAACCCCCTGAGCCCACCCCGCCAAGCTCCTCGCTTGGTGAAGCAGTGGCCTATGCCCCCTCAATGCTGTCCTGTCTCCCTGGCTCACATTTGATAAGCTCCTACCTGTCATGGATTCAGCTCAAACGTGGTCTCCTCTGCGGAGCCATCTTTGATACCAACATGGATGAAACTAGGCACTTTCCCTCCATTGAGACATCGCTTGAGATCAAACCTAGGCCTTGCATAGCCCTCAAGTAGGGAAGGGAATGTTGTTAAAATAGCAAAACAAAACAAACACAAAACCCAGTGCCCACGTGAACTCAGCAGCCAGCTGAGGAAGATGCAGCCTCACCACATCGGGGGGAAAAGCCACCACTGAACTCCACACCTCAAGTCCTCCAGGGACATCTGACAGAGACCCAGCTGGATTCAGGCCAGCTCTTCCCATGGCTCCAGTCCCTACACTGCCTAAGGACCCCTCATTCCAACACAGGGCTCTGTTTGGTGCCCCAGGATGGCCACTGTACACTCATAAAAGCAGCTTCCTGCTCAGAGTCCTCCGGGACAATGTGCCAGTGCCTCCCACCTCCTGAGACACAGAGAGGCTGCCAAGGAGCAGATGGAAGCTGCAGCCGTGGCTCCAGCCATGGGTTCCAGCTTTGACATGAGGCTTTAATCCCCAGTCATCAGGGCCAATCTGGCATTCTGGGTTACAGTGGCCCTCTTTTAGGCTCATTTTACCAACCCATGGCTGGATCCCCACTGGCGTGGTCAGCAGGCCCAGGAAGCTGACCCAAATGTCTAGGAGTCAGGTCAAAGATTTGCCTGTCCCTTGACCTGGTCAGACACAAAGCTGCTGCTCTGACTCTAAGCACCCACCAAGCTGATGGTTGCCCACCTGCCAACTCAAGCACCACGGACCTTTTGCCAGGCTGTGCTCTTTGTTCCACATGGAAACTAAAGGTAAGATGCCCAGCACATCACTTACGCTGCAACCAGCAGCTGGAACTTCCATACACATTTTTTTCTAATCAGATGAAACAAACCTTTCTCCTCTTCTAAAGTTATCATTTCCCCAGAAGAAA